TCTCTCTCTCTCTCTCTCTCTCTCTCTCTCTCTCTCTCTCTCTCTCTCTCATGGATAGGCTTTGATTCAGCCAGTCTTCTTTTTAACTAGGATATCTTCTTGCTAGGACTTGGCTTTCTATTTATATAATTTGTCTAATATCATAATTTTTCTCCCAAAGTAACCAGTGGAATGGCTTAAGAGTTAAGATTCTCAGCCAGCTATTGATTTTCACATTGGGAAAAAACCTAAAGTGAAGGGGAGGTACCATGTTCTAATGGGGAATAAAGAGACTTCAGAGGGCTAAAGGTGACACTTCGTTGTTATCTCTCCATCATTAATAAAACATGGCCATACTATATGTCCCAGTGACCAATCTATCAACAAGCATTATTCGAGGTAGAGCATGCACTCTAGAGTTCTCTAGAAGTGGTAAGCATATTGTATATATAAGATCACTGACAGGTTTCTTAGCTTTGCAGGTGTATGAGAGGCAGAGGTGAGTCTGGGGTTGTCTACATGGGGAAAGTGGCCAATTTAATGGAACTGAATAACTTTGATGGACATGAAATTTTCTGATTCTTTGCCACTGATTTGTAAGTCAGATATGTTCTTCCAATTTTGCTCTTTCTAAAGCCTGGCTTAACCTACGTCACCATCGACTGCAAGCTTGTGAAAAAAAAAAAAAAAGAATTTCACTTCCTTCTCAGCAGCTATTTCTGAAATGTGTGATTCTCTGGGAGGGAGGAAAGGAGTGGCTTTCTGTTTCTAGGGTGATAGCAAGTATAAAGTGAGTCTTCCGTGTAGTTTTAACCTCTTCCTGGTATCTTTTCTCACCCCTCATGTCTAAAAAAACTGTCAGACACAACCAACAGGTGTCACATGATCCTCAGTGCATCCCTCGCAAAGCAAATTTCAGACTCTGTGGCAGTGCACAGCTTGGGGCTGCTGATCCATACTTATATATGCAGTATATGGACATGTTTTTGCTGGTGAATAAGAATAATTCACAGATGGGAAAAGGGTGTATATGGGTTAAAGAAGAGTAGAGGAGAAGTAGGAGCGAGGGGAGAGAGAAGAAGTGAGGAAGGTAAGACAGGGAGGGGAAAGAAAAAAATTTAAGCATGGGTCTGCTTCTTTCTAGTAACTCAAAGTGTTTTCCCATGACTAGAAGGACAATGTAGGACTCATTCCTTCTGTGGAATTCTTCTGACTCTAGCCCTGTGGGTCAAGATGGAGACATTAGTCCATTTAGTCCACTATTAACCTGCTACCCAGAGCAACTTGAAAGGAGGCAGGACAAAAACCCTAGAACAATAAGTATATCGATCCCGCTTAGGATGCCTGTGACGGTCCTTTCTGAGTCCCTCTATTACCTACAGTTCTTGGTCCAGAGGCTTTCAGAGACCAGATACCTGCTATATGCCCCTGAGTGGCTTGAACTTGCCAAGCCCATCCCCCTGTCCTCCATGGTCATACACACTGTGATTATTTGTTTTTTTCTGCTCCCTATGCCTTTAAGTCTTGAGTTGAGTCTATCACAGACCTTTCAAGGGTACAACCTCAGAAGTTTCCATAAATGCAAATTCCCTCAGATTCTCTCTCTCAGGGGTTCACCACCATTCATGGTAAAGCTGTCTTGTCATTCTCCAGTCTGTCTTCTTGCTAGGAGGTTCCTTTTGTAACAGAACTAGAAAGCAGCCAGATAGTGTACTTGGAGTACAAAGAGTAAAATAAAGGACTTAAGTGAAGAAATTTACATTTGGATGACTTAAGAAAAATAGAGGAAGAGAAATAAGAAGAAAAAAAATCAATAAAACCTGACAAATGTTTTGTGATCTTTCCTTGGACTTATTTTTATACTGGAGAGGAGGTCCTTTAGAGATAAAAGTCAAAAACAGTATTGTCAATGGAAGGTTTAAATACGATTATTCTGTGGTTTCCAAAAGATTCAAGTTAAAGTTTAGAATTATTTTTGAATTACTATTGGCTGTTCTTCTTTGATTGTGGAACATTATAATAATATGCTACTATGATAATAAGCATACATAATCTGGCCATTGTGAAAATCGGACCCTGAGCCCTTCCCTTACATGAGTTTATCTTACCCTTTATCTTCTTGCTTTAGAGTCCTTAGACAGTCTCCTCCAAAGAAATAGGCAAGTCAGAGGTTGTGAGGTTGCCTAGGTTGTTCCTTACCTAATAATGTTGAACACTGGATAATCTCAATGCAAATTAAAATGGAAAACCCAAGCCTTTGTGCCTTAACCAGAACAGCTTGGTGGTTGAAGCTGTCATTGGCCACTCCCATATAAAAACTTCTACAAATTAGTGTTTTTTGGGTGTAATATTCCATGCATATGCATATCTCATGTAGTTCAGTGTCAAGCTGATTTGAGATTCACTTACTGGAGCCTGAGCATGGAGCCTGTTGTTGTTTCCTTTCTGTTGTGATTTTAAAAAAAAAGTCTAACCAAAGCAACCAAAACCTTTTCTTTTCGTGGGAAAAGAAAAGGTTTATATTAGTCTATAGATTGCAGTCTATCATTGAGGGCAGTCAGAGCAGGAACTCAAGCAGATTCTTGAAGGCATGCTTTTTCTTAACACAGAAATGAAAATCAAAACAAGCAAATAAAAACAATAAGATAAAATATGCCAAAATGAAACCAAAAGCCCACCAAAAAAAAAAAAAAATCCATGGAGTTTTGCATGTGTTGTGTCCAAGACTTCTGGGGACTATTCAGACTTTGTTCCATATACCTACATAAAAAATTAGAATATCTAATTCCAACAGGAACACTCACCTCACACTGTACCAAACTCATCCCAAAACTATGACAGTTGTGCTAATAGCAATGCTGCAAATAACATTCACACATTGACCTAAGTTCCTCATTTTCTGCTCAAACTGCTGAGTGTTCAGATTGTCATTATTCCCCTTATAATGATCATAATTGCATAGGTCTGTTGATGCTTCTGTTCTGTTGTTATTTTGTTTTTATAAATGGAAAGTGAAGTTCAAAGGGGTTAGATGAGTTGGTCAAAGTACTGGTATAAGTTTACAAATAAATCCAGACTGTTATTCAGGAGCCCAAGATGGTCATTTTCACCAGCCCTGAAAGACCAGTAAAGAAAGCCAATCACTGAGCGGGGGACAGGGGCTCAGGTTCAGACACCACTTTTCCTCTTAATTTTGCTCTACTCTGGCTTTCGTTCAACATATGTTTCTCCAGACAAAACATTCTGACATATTTCTTTGCCTACAAGATTCTTGTCCCTGTCAAACTTTGACCCCCAAGTTATTTCAAATGTGACTACCAAGTATGATGGCCTAGCAATGTTTCCCCACATTCCAGTTCCCTCAGGGCAGTCCATTGTGTGTGCACGCACACACACACATGCATGCACACACCGGTGCTGCCTGCAGAAGTCTTCCTTTGTGTGTTTATCACATAAGCTGTTGGTGATCATTTTGCTGTCCCAAAGAAGGAAGTGGCCCCTGAGGGGAAGAGGCTTCTGCTCCAGGCCTCTCTCACTAGAATTTCCTTGCTCTGCATCATATGCCATTGGACATCCATCGGGTATTTCAAATTCAAAGTAGAAATCACCCCCTATCTGGTAACCACTTCCCAATCTTATAACT